ACGGCAGCTTGTCAAACGTCCTTCCTCATCACATTGTGAGTTCTTGCTGTGGTGTTTCCAGAGCCGCTGACTTAAAGCTGCCTCCGTCTGTGTCTCTGTCCTCAGTCCTGACGGCAGCTACACTGAGGACCACAGTGCTGAGCTTCACTTTAAGTCTCGCAGTTCAGAGTTTGATGATGATTTCGATGATGAAGAACCGCTACCGAGTATCGGCACCTGCAAGTCTCTTTACCCATTTCAAGGTACAGTCATTTCTTCAAAGTGTGATGCAGTTTCTCCTTCCAAATAAAATGCCGTCTGTTCTTCATAAATAAATGTCAAAGCAGCATGTGCTGCAAGGTGGTGTGAAAATGTGGTTGTGATAGAGATGGGCAGACATTTATCCATTTTCCAGTTCAGGAGCTGGTTTTAGACCCTGAACCTCAAACCGTATTCTTCGGGCAGGCGTCATCCCTGTTGATTTTAGGGCAGAAACAAAGCTCCTGCTCCAGAGGAGTTACACCTCAGTGGCAGGTGCTTTTGTTTTAGTGCACTTTGCTTTTGGACTGTACACTGCAGAAAACAGGAAGACTGAGGGGGATGGTTAGACGATTGCTCCTCTAAACACTGGTGCCACCTCGTGCCTGAGCTGAGTTGGGTTTGAGAGACATCTGTTGAAAACAGAGAACTTAGGGTTTCATTTGTCTGTTCTCCTGAGAGAATCACAAAGACCTGTTTAGCAAAAGAAAGAGAAGAGTTCAGCTGCTCACCTCCACACAGCTGACCAATGACAGCACGAGGTGAGTGTTCGATCTACATGTTAAAACTGACGCACAGACAGATTTAATCTGACGTCAGCCATGTGTTAGGGAGAGTCACTAAGAATGCTGGTGCAGCTGTGGATATGAACCTCAATCAGCAGGTGATGAACTTTGGTCCTGAAGGTGTCAAAGCATCTTCACTGATAAGTCAAAAACCCAGTGAACATCAGGAACATGTCGGCCTGTGAGTGGAAGCAGCTGGTGTTGCTCTGAAAAGTCCATTCACATCTTTATTCTTCTGCATCATTTACAAGATGTTCTTGTGTTAAAATCTGAATTTCCAAAAACCCTGTTATGTCTTCTTGATGTCCTCACAGGGTTGCATTTGTCTCGTCTGTTGAAAAATTGTTAATATGGTTTGTGAATCAAAATATTTTTCAAACTGTGACATTAAATTGTTCACGTTTTGTTGTTGTTTTGATCCTCTGCAGGCCAGAACGAAGGCACTCTGTCGATGGTGGAGGGAGAACTGCTTTCTGTGGTGGAGGAGGACAAGGGTGATGGCTGGACCAGAGTGCGGAGGAACCTGGAGGAGGAGGGATATGTTCCCACATCCTACATCAAAGTCTTCCTGGACAGCAGTGCCAAAGGTGCCATGACCTACATATGAACTTCAAATGACCTCTGCATGACCTTTGAATGACCTCTAAATATGACCTTGTCATGGCCTTCATCTGACCACAGTGACCTTCAAGTGACCCCATCTGACCTCCACTTAGCATTTTAATGAACATTGAATAAATATTTAAGTGACCTCTACATGACCTCTGACCTCTACATGACCTCTACATGACTTCTGAACTCTACATGACCTCTACTTTACCCCTGGAACTTAACATGACCTCTACATGACTTCTGTATATAAACTCTACATGACCTCCTGCTGACCTCCAGGTACACTTCCTTGAATCGTGTGATCTTGATGTACCTCCTGATGACCTCTGACCTCTACATGACCTCTGTATAAAAGCTCCACATAACCTCTGACCACCATATGACCCCCAAATGACCCCTGACCTCTACATGACCTCTGACCTGCACATGACCTCTACGTGACACCTGACCTCTATATGACCTTTGACCTCTACGTGACATCTGACCTCTACATGACCTCGGACCTCTACATGACCTTAGTATAAAAGCTCTACGTGTCCCCTGACCTCTACATGACCTCTGACCACCATATGACCCCCTCATGACCCCTGACCTCTACATGACCTCTGTATAAAATCTCCATATGACCTCTGACCACCATATGACCTCTACATGACCTCTGACCTCTACATGACCTCCTGCTGACCTCCAGGTAAACTTCCTTTAATCGTGTGATCTCGATGTACCCTCCTGATCACCTCTGACCTGACCTCTACATGACCTGTACGTGACATCTGACCTACATGACCTGTACGTGACATCTGACCTCTACATGACCTCCTGCTGACTTCCAGGTAAACCTCCTTTAATCGTGTGATCTCGATGTACCCTCCTGATGACCTCTGTGACCTTTGAATGTTGGTTTCTGTCTGTCTCGATATGTTCTACCTGCCTGACCTCGGCCTGTTTATTTGCTGCTGTTTGAATCTTTATACCTGTGTGACACACCTGTACACCTGTAGGGCAGGTGTGTCTCATCCTAAGCTCTGCCTGCACGGCCTGCACACACCAGCGATGGTGCGATCAGCCACATGATCCGTGACAGGTGTGCCATGCTTTGGGGAGTGTTTTTTTATCTGATCATGTGACCTGTGGTGGGTTCAAGGTCTCAGGCATCAGATGCGAACATGAACACCTGTCGGTCAGAGAGATCCAGTCACACCTGAGAGAGACAGACAGGTAGACAGTCAGAGACAAAGAAAGTCACATTGTTGGCTGATGAAGAGGACAGTCTGAGTTCTTCAAAGATGGCTGCCACAGCTGATGAGAACGCTGACTCTAAGCTCGCCTTCACTTTCTGCCAACATGTCAGCTCAATCAGAGAGCGCCTGCAGTCCAGCATCAATGAACCAGCAGAGTGTTGACATTGTCTATTCATTCAGTAGATTTCTGTTCTTCAGCTTCACTTTGTCTTTTTGACATGATCACAGTAGACCTGCCAGAGTTATCGTCCACAAGCCTCCTGCCCAGGGCTCAGTTCATAACATGCTAGTAATCACAGCGCTAAGCCTGGTCAGCAGGAGCTTCCATGACTGGTAATTCCTCTGTTGTCTTTAAATATCTCAGACCGTCCCTTTACCAGAAACACAAATAATAACGTCTAAACGTGAGAACGGCTACATTCATGTTAACAGCTGATTGTAGTTTAAAGACAAATGAATAAAACACTGGCGCAGCTTTAGGAACTAACTTCTAGCTTTCTTAGGAAACATTCCTTTAGTTGCAACAGCAACTATTCTAATAGCGATGATAATGATGTAAGTGGAGGTTTCTGAGCATCCAGCTGGCGTCAGATCAGTTTCAGTCACCAGACCTCCTGTCTCGCCTTCTAACATGTCTGTCTGTCTGTCTGTCTATCTTGTAGGCTTTGTGCACAGTAGTCGGCTAGTCTAGCTAATCGACCAGTGAGGACGTCTCGCCACAGGAAGTGATGTAAAGAGCTCAGAGGAGGTCGGGTAACAGCTTCTTACTGGACAGTTTTACTCTTCAGATATCTCAGCCAATCAGATGACAGACAAAAACCCACAAAGGGCAGAAATCAATCAGAAGTCAATAAGAAATGATTCAGGTCCCCAAACAATTGATGTGACCCAGAACAGATCCAGATGATCACTTTTCTCTTCGTTTCTCATTAATGCTGGTGAAGAATAGAAACGAAATCCTGAACTTAATCCTTCAACTGGAACTTTTTGTGTTCGCATTTCACGTCACATGAAAACTTTATTGATAAACATCATTTTATTAAAACACAAGTATGAAGATGAGACAAGAGCTTTGAACAGCAACGGCCAGAAACGGAGCCTAGAGCTGAACGCCGTGGTGACGTCACAGCGCTGCACGCTGTCAGTGTGACATCACAGGAGGCGTGGTCATGCTAAAGAGTTGACTGTGTGTACATAGAAACTGTAGCTGCACAGGTGTAGCCCCGCCCCTGCTTACATTAGCCACACCCAGAACAACAGCCAGTGTTGACTCTGCCCCTATTTATAGCCCCGCCCATCCATTACCCCGCCCCCTGCTCGTTGCTTAATTATCATTTTTATTGATTGATTGTGTGAAATGTGAACTTTTTTATTTTAGTGAGACATCGATCAGTTATGTATTGATTTTTTATTAAGACGTGAGACTGCTGATCACGCGCTTTTCAACTTCCTGTTACACTTTCAAAATAAAGTACACTGAATCAAGTGCTGTGTCAGCTCTTTTATTCACATTGTGTTGCTCACAGGCACCGTGGCAGCCAATCAGGGTGAAGCTGTAGCTTTCTACCTGTGTGACCTCTGACCTGCACCGAAATTCAAAGTTTCCTTTGAGCAGCAACAGTGAGAGAAAAAAAATCCTCTTTACCAAGAAGAAACCACCATCAGAACACAGGTCACATGGAGCTGCTCATGGAGAGTTTATATGTTAGAAGCAGGATTTAGATTCTATCCTGGATTTTACAGGAAGCCACTGAAGAGAAGCTGATACAGGAGACATCTGACCTGGTTCTGGTTCTGTCAGAACTCTGCTGCAGCATGTTGGATCAGATGGAGGGTTCTGAGAGAGTTACTGGGACATCCTGATAATAAGGAACTACAATAGTCCAGTCTAGAAGTTCTGAATGATGGACTGGTTTCTCAGCATCACTCTGAGACAGGATGCCCTGATGTTTACAGTATTACGGAGATGACAGAAGATCGTCCTACAGACTGGTTCTGTATGTCTGCTGAAGGACATGTCCTGGTCAGAGATACCTCCAAGGTTCTGTACAGTAGAACTGGAGGCCAAGGCGATGCCATCTAGAGTCATGGAAAAAAAATCATCAGACCACCTTGTTTTCTTTAATGTCTTGTTCATGTTAATGCCTGGAACCACTAAAGGTCCATTACCTGAAGAACACAGTGAACAGGACACAACCTGCAGCTGATCCTTCGTCCTTTCTGTCCTGTGTGACCTGCTTCAGCTTCATGTGTTCCCTGTAGGGTCCATAAGAGGCCGTTTCATGTCATCAGCAGCACATGCAAAGACCTGGAGTGGTTTCCTGCTGACATTCAGGCCGTAGCACAGCTCAGAAGCTGTCAGCTCTCACATAACGCCTAAAACAGAAGGATTATGGGAAGCCACAAAGGCAGCCATCTTGGCTCTGCTGGAAACTGGCATGAGTGAGAGACAGGTAGAGAAGAACCTGAAGATCTCCAAGACAGACGTTCATCACACCAAGAAACAACCAGCCCACCATGGTGCTGCCACATCGCTAGCTGGTGGCAGCAGGAAACATCTTCCTACCCACCACACTCATCTGTTCTGTGTCAGGAGTCGTGGTCAGACCTCCAGGGACCTGAACATGAGGGGCACTGTGGAGACATGGGACTTGTTGGAAACCGACTTGTTTGAAGCTGGTCTGAAGTCACACAGGGCAGAAGAAGCCCTTCATCAACCAAAGGCAGAGGAAAGCCCGGTTCCTCTCTGCTGGGACCACAGGGACCGGACTGGTGATGGTTGGGCTCAGGTTCTCTTCAGGGATGAACCCAATGTTCAGCTGATGTCCACTCCAGCCCACTTCCTGGTGAGGAGGAAGCCTGGAGAAGCCTCCAGACCAGACTGTCCTGCCCCTACAGTAGAACATGGGGCTGGATCAGGGACCATCTGGGCTGGTTCCAGTTTGGGTGGAACAGGGCCAATGGACCAGGTCATGGACAGGCTGCTCTGGAAAACAGTCTTCTGCCATCAGCTGGAAAA